TTCCGTGCCCCTCATCTGCTGCCTCATGATCTCGGCCGACGTCATCGGCCGCCTCGGCCTCGACGGTGGCACTGTGAACGATATTCCGGGGGACCCACTACTATTCGATCCATTCGGAGAGGAGGGACTAGACCATCCACCATTTCCGGCGCCCGACACCATCCTCCTCGACGGCGACCGCTTGAGCATCTTCAGCCCAAGCGCCCGCTTCACCCGACTCGTCGGGGTCGTCACCACCCCATTGGGCTTCGACCCCGATCCGGACCCACCCCCATCCCCACCACCATTGTTGTTGCTAGTGCTATTATTGTTCTCGTGGTTAGAGTAGAAGACGAGGGCGGTTCGTCCCCCGAAGCCGGGGGCCGAACGACACGCGGTGAAAAAGATCTCGTACGCGGTCTCGCGTACGTCATCGCGGTCTATGCCCTCGAGCTTGCCAAAGGGCCAGATGAGGTCGGGGTCGGAGTCGTGGTAGTCGGGGCGGGGGGCGAGGAAGGAGCTGCATAGGGAGTCACGACGAGCGTGGTACTGGTGGCCTGGGCCCATGGCAGCTGCGGCGGCAGGCTACGAAAGGAGAGATGTAGCGGTCGGAGTCAGATATCCGGCGGGGGAGACAAAGCGGGCATTTCTCTCTTAAAAGAGGAGAAAAAAAAAATAAAAGGAGAGAGGATTTGAGAGGTGTGCGTGTGTGTGAGATGATTTGGTTGGTGTTGTGTTCGATTGGTTATGATTTATGACAGCGGTTTTGTGCGAGGAAAGAGAAGCGAGAGCCAAATACAGGAGAGAACCAAAACGCTGTTGTGCGAAGAAAACGAGATGCAATGCGACATAGATAGCAAAGTCGCTTCCGAATATTTCTGCTCCTTCTTAATTATTATTATTACTCTCTTAATTATTTATTTAATTGTTTTTGTTTTTGCTAATCTTGGATTAGATTAATTAATATTCGTATTCATCAAACAAACAGATTGATCTTGTTGTTAGATTCTACTTACACTCCAGCTCATTTGGAGAATGATTTGATTTAGCTTCACACGTACTTGCCTTGGTGTACCAGAAAATTGTTGGTTTCCCTACATTATTATCCACTAATCTCTGTTTGGTAATTAAGAGCAGTTTTTTAACTGTAATTTGTCTTTCTTTTCTGTTTATGTTTATGCGCTCTACTTGCCACGAAGGCTTGACGTAGTGGCTCTATCTACACCTCATGTTTGCTATTTCTCTGTTTGGGGAATTTTGCACTACATCATTGTAACACTGTTCTGCAGTGTTACCCATCCACCCACTTATGTTATAAAATCAACTCATATTATAATGGCTTATTTAGCTACATGCCCTCTGTGCTTTGCAACTTGTCTCAGATTACCACCCGGGTTTTAAAACGTCTCAAAGTACCCCCCCAACCTTTAAAAAATGGTCTCATGTTACCCATTCTGTCAGTATTTTTGACGTTCCGTTACAAACTTTGAGCCCCACTTCATTTTAACTCCAGAATCAACCCCCCTCTCTCTCTTCCTCTGTTTCTCTTTCTCCATCTCTCTCCTCATATCATCTCTTGGTTTTGGGCTCTTCTTCTTTGGCTGCATCTCTTCCTCTGATTTTTCTGGGATATTTTTTTTTCTTTCTCCTTGGTTTTGGGTTCTTCTTCTTTGGCTGCATATTCTTGAAATATCAATGGGGAAGCCAACTGAGAAGAAGAAAGAGGAGGAGGTACAAATGCCTGGGAATGCTGGCAGTAAGTTGAGCAAGCCCTTTTTTTTCTTCAGTCCAATTCACTGGGGTTGCGATGACAGTGTGCCACCTCCACTTGAAGTCGTCATCGATAGCCAGATCCAGTCGACGCCAGGAGGAAGAGAGAAATACAAGGGAGGTGGAGAGAGGAGGTGAGGAAAGAGGAAGAGAGAGAGGGGGGTTGATTCCGGACATTCCCAGCACATTTGAGAATCTGTCGAGCTTAATGGGCTGCAACTTCTCCAGATTCTCCAAAATTCGAACCCCACCTCAGATTTTGCAAAAGCCCTAGCCTTCTCCAAATCTCCCCTTCTCACCCAAATACCCAATTTCCTCCTCTCTGAAAGTGAAAAACCCTAATTCGAAGAGGTT